TGGCGATGTGGGCCAGCATCCTGTTTTAACCTTATTTACTACTGACTCACGCTGTTCGGTCATGAATCATGATTAACTAACACCACTATATCTCTTCCAATTTTTCCCTGGGCCAATTTAATCCCCTCCTCCGGAGCGAGTACCTGTGCCTCCTATCTTTGCTTCCTACGTGCAGTGCTTTGTTGATTATCTGTACTGAACTTCATAACCAGGCGACAAGGCAATTCTGAGGATCAGGCAGAATCTTCTGCAGAAACAGCAAGCTGCAAAACGTATGTCAGCTTTGGCAGGGTTAGGCGCTGTGTGGTTAAGAGGTTTGTTTGTTCCAAGAACGCTCCAATTTTTATGTTTATCGGAGTACTTAATATGCAGATCGAGCTCTTTACATTAGACCAACAACAACTTGGGTTTATATAGCGCCCTCATCCAGGGTAGCGACCTGGAGAGCTTGACAAGAGTCTGACCCATCATTCATATAATGAACCCAGGTATCAAATTTTCAAATGCATTGGTGTGTGTGTGTGTGTGTGTGGAGGAAGAGAGAGAGGGAAGTATGTAGTAAATGGGATAATATCAAACTGGGCAGAGAGTAACAGTCACTGACAAAAGTCTCTCTGTCCTCACACAGCTCAGTGACCTACCTGCCAACACGAGTGGCAGCTCAGCTCAAAGGCACTTCAATCACTGACAACTTTGTGGCTCGGATCGACACAATTTATCACCATATCTTTATCTCGGATAAAGAAGAAATTTCTTGTCTATCCATGAGAAGAGATCGCTTAGAAGGGACTGTAATAGAGGTTTATATCAGATGCTAAATGGGGATTAAAGTAAATCCAGGACAAGAAGGCACAGGAATTTGGTTTCTCATCAAACTTTGCGATATAGACAGATGAAGCCCCTTCGGACATCTGGCTTAATCTGCGCCTGGAGGTTGAAAGAAGCCTCGAGTTAATAAGCAGTGCAGAATTATCAGCAAGCTCACTGAATAAATTTGCAAGGCGTAACCACAATTGCCCCCATTGCTGTTGCTAATCTGCAAATTGCTTGTTTATTCAGGAGATAAACTCTGGCAGACAGCGTTGCAGCCAGTGAAAGTCAAACTCCCGGAACGGTCAATTATCATATCGTTGTGAATGTAAAACCCTCATTGTTGTTTTTTTTAAATATTCTATTTTTACAGCGTTGTTTTGAATCTGTCAAGGTTGCAGGCGACAGTAGTAATTCCTGAGGAGATGCAGCGACAAACAAGTTGTGTTTTGCTCCTCAAATCGTTTAATTCTCTTTCTCTTTGGTAATCTGCTACTTTTTCAGTAACTCAGCCAGAGGATCAGGACAACCTGGGCTATGACAATCCTTAAACCTTACATTTGATGTCGTGCCTTTCATGTCAGGAGAATAATGAAAATAAAAATAATAATCCTGGCATTTGATATAGGGCCCTATCATGTCTTCGAGACGTCGCAAAGCGCTTCACAGAATATACTGTAAAGTCAATTAACTGTCTCAAACACTTCACAGAATATACTGTAAAGTGTGGTGCTGTAAAGTGCGTGAAGGGTACTATATAATCATAATGCTCCTTGCATAGCTCCTTATCGTGTCTTTGAGACGTCTACATATAAATGCAAGTTGTTCTATCTTCATTTCAATTTCTTTGCAACTTTAAATCTCGTTCCCTACTTTCGACAGTCCTGGTAAAGTCACATCCATGGACGCAACTGGATTTCTTTTTGGGGGTGGGGAGGGTGCAGTGTCCAGCCATCCTAATTCCAGTTCTACATCGGAGCCCCTTGCAGATGTGTGGCATTCTAGTTATCTCACACTTTAAGTTTAATGGGGATGGTGTGATCAGTAACTAGGTAGCAAAAGGCTTGTTCCCTACTCTTCCTACCCTTAACTACTCTCAACCCCTCTTGATTCCGACCCCCAGCTCGGGGGCAAACCCTTAACTGTCCAGCACTTTGGGACTCCTTCTGACGTGAAAGGCACGATATATATGTAATTTCCCTTCCCCCCCTAGGAGAAGTCCTTAAAACAGAGCTCAAGGAATAGAACCTGTTCAGAACCAGCCTTGCCGCACTGTGCTGCTCACCGTGATATCGTGATGGTATATCTGCTTTCACAGCTCTTTCCAGAAGAGATAACTCAGGAGAATTTGGTATCACTGCAGTAGATTAAGTTATTTGTGGAAGAAAAATTGCTGAATTGAGTTATCGGTGTGGAAAACACTGAGTTTGGACACATTGTGTAGAAAGTATAGCGTCTCTCTCCCTGATAATGGATCCATTGTGGGCTCGTTTGAGAATGTACATTATTATAGTACTATTGATGTAATAAAACAGTTCTGCAGCTAGCTAATATCTGCGCAGAACGTGGATGAGCATGAGGTCGCCGTTCTTAAACAAAATAAAATTATAGACGTCTGAAATGATCGGGTTCGCACGAGAATGCAGGTGCTGAACATTCCCAGTAATCGGTCGGTCATCAATACATGACCAAAGCTAGGTGACGATGGCACTGTAAAAATATCGATGGCTTGTGAAAGGTCAACGGCCTGAAATGTTGTGCGGAACTGAAGGTGTCTGGGTTACAATCTCTGCTGCCAAAACCTGGTGTCATTACAGCACATCAGAGACTTCTTATAGTATCATGGAATCTTACAGTTGTTTTTGCTCTGTTGGGTCGTTACTTGCGGAAATCCCAAGGCCATGTTTAAAAGTCTCCAACCCAAACTACTGAGAACTCTTCCACACGTGTATTTTTAATATCACAGAGAGCTGCTATTTTGTCCCTCGTGCCTGTGCCAGTTCCCTGAAAGAGCCATCAGTTTAGTATGTGCTCTTTACGCTCCGTGTTACTCATAAGCACAGGATAAAACCACAAATGGCAAAGCTCTCCGCATGAGCAAGCTCTGAGAATATAGACTCTGTGCTAACCAAAGCTCAGTCGAGATGGATTGGTTATGTACTGTGAGAATCAGGAGACAGACCACCGAGGCTGGTACTGTGTAGTCGGCTGAAGGAAAGGAAAAATAAGTGTTGTTCAGGTGGATGCTAAAGATTTGAAAAGAGAAGGGTGTTTCTCTCGGTGTCCTGACCGGAAAGTCAGCTCAGGTACGAACTCTGAGTCGAATAGCCGCCTTCTGTGGTCGATTTCCACAGCTGTAAACAAACTCCTGACTCCAGTCATGTTTGTTTCGTTGGGATTCTGGTTAAAGGGCGATTTTTTTTTCTTACTGGTGGTAACAAGCACAATGGCCTCATTCTGCGGAGAATAAGCCCTGTAAAGAGGGTTGAGCTCAGTGTACAGACTCTGGCCAGTAAGGGCACCATCAGAGCAACGTCAAAAAAGAGCCAACGATTGTACTATAATTGGAACGGGATCGACTCTCGCCTTAGGAAGAACGGTTTGAAAGGCTGTTGTCATGGGATATGCATGCCTGTGCATCACGTGATATTTGGTTTTTGGTGGGGAGTCGAAACAGCGATGATTTTCACAAATGACTTAGAAAATCTTAGAAATCATAGCACAAAGGACGCATTCAGCGAGCGTCAGCCTGGCTCAGTCGGTTGCACTTTCTCCTCCGGGTGAAAAGACCGTGAGTTCAATCTCCACGTTCGGACTTTGAACACACGTAGTTAACGATAATAATGATAATAACTAATAATCCTTGCATTTGATATAGCGCCTTTTCACGTGTTCGAGACGTCTCAAAGTGCTTCACAAAATATACTGCAAAGTGAATTGACTGTATATTTGTAGGCGAAACAGATATACAATCAATCTTTAACCTACACTTGGACAGACAGACAGACAGACAGACAGAGGGGGCCTTGGTTTGTGACACACAGTTGGTGATAACGTGGGCTATCTTTGGGAATGGGCATCCGAAACATCCTTAATCAGGGCACTGGGAGCGTTATGATGTTATTCACCAACAAACAATTGCCAGATTTAGGCTCCAGAAATTCAATTAAAAATAAAATGAATTCAAGGTGACGATAATGATTGTTTCGCTTTCAAATATCCTCCCTCTCCTGCCCTGGCCACTCGCTCCACTCAGCAAACAGTAACCGGCTTCATGTCGCCCACCTGATCAACAACAACAACAACAACAACCACCTGCAATCGTTTAGTGCTTTCCACGCAAGACTGAGGCGTCGAACTCTGTGAATAGTCTCAGAGCGCTGGGGATAGCATCTCAAAACACATAACAACAATCCTAGCATATGATATAACGCCTTATCATGTCGTCGTTTCGCAGGATACACTGTAGAGGATTGACCAGCTCTTGAATTCTTTTCTTGAGTCCCCATCCCTCAGTCCCTCCCTACCTTTCCAACTGCACTTTCAACCACCTTTCCCCTTCCCAGCTCCCCCTGTTCAGGCTCCCAATCAGCTGTGGGGAGTCCTTTGAGACATCCTCCTGATGCGAAAGAGCTTGTATAAATATAAATCGATTCTAGCTGCTTAGCTTGAAAATATCTCTTTCCCTCCCTCCACCATTTGTGCACTTGATGTATTTTTACATTGCTTAGGTTGAACGCAGTTTTTTAAAAAAAACTTTCACAGTGAAAACATTTTGTTTCTCTCTTAACAGTATTTTACAGCACCGCCTGGCTCTGAAATCCAAAGGAACACATCAGCTACAGGTCGCACCTACAAAATCAACAGCTTGTGTCAACAGGATACAGCTCAGTCCTCCAAAATGGGGTGGGGGGGGGGGTTCACAGCAAAGACTCGAAGTGATTGAGGTTTCAGACAATCTGGTACAATCACCATTTTTTAAGTCAACCGCTCCACAAGCTGTTTTGCTTTTATAATAACAACAGTAATAATAATCCTTGCAGTTGATACAGCGCCTTATCACTTCTTCGAGACGTCTCAAAGCGCTGCACGGGACACACTGCGAAGCGGGATGGACTGTGTATCTTGCGGGTGAAACGCGGCAGCAAACAGTCGTGGCTTGAGTGACCGAATTATTCTAAAAGACCTACCTTGTGCTTCGTAGTGTGTGTGGTGGAGAAAGGACTGTCTCTCCTCTGGAGATGAGCTCATCCCCAGCGCAGACTGGAGCTGAGTCACATTCAAGTACGCTGTGAGTTCGCCGTTTCGATCGCCGATCTGCAAGCAGAAAAGAAACCACAAGGACTGGAAAATTTGCCCAGCGAAGACTTGGCTTGAAGAAGCGTCTGAACTGCACTGAAACCCAACGAAGGGGGAGTAAAGGTAAAGGAGAAGCGGCGGAGAACGGAATCCCTGCTTCACCGTCAGCTTCTGGGCTTCTCTCGACGAGCGCCTCACGTCGACGAGATCAAGTTCAAAAAACCTCGCTGCGCACACACAGAGAGAGAGCGAGAGCGAGAGCGAGAGAGAGAGTGAGGTTTAATTGAGTTGTCGCAGCATTCCAGACCACCTCCTGTTTATTAGTGTTTAATGCGCCGTCCATCCTGATTTCTGCGTACCAGATGGGGCTTTGCTCCTTCCTAAAACTGGGGCAAAAAAAGTGCTCCTGCTAATGAGAGAGGCATGTCGCCTCCGAGCCAGGTTCCAAGTCCTTGAGATTACACCGCGTGTGACAAGAGCAACGGTTCGAAAAGCGCCTCCAAATCCTTTGATCGGCTGGGCTTTTAAAATAGATGTTCTGTTATTACTGGCACCGGGGAATGTGCTGCTGTGAAGTAGCACCTCTCCGAATGTTGCATATCTTTCGTTACTAATTCTAGATTTAACTCTTACACCGCCGAGCGCATGTGGCCGTGCAGTTTTCCACGGCGCTAGAGTGCGGAGGGGAGGGGGGGGGTAAAGGCAGCCCCTGGTTTTTCCCTCCCACCCCAACGTAAAGCAAGTAAATCCGCAGGTTAGCAATCTATCCGCACATCCTACCCTATTCCTCCTCCGCAGGTTGCCTTCCCTCGCACAGCAACACTCTTCCAGTTTCTTATCCTGTTCCACCCAGGGTTTGATTATCTGCCAGTATCCACATAACCCTCAATCCTGAAGCTGCCGGTTAGCATCAGGTGATAAGAATCAAACAACGCCTTATGAACTAACACTGGGCATCAGCACAGAAGGATGTCAGTCGGGCAGATAAGGTCCCTGAGGCACTGTTTATTGGAAGAGTCACAAGATCAACAACAATGAAAATGACGACAGTGTCAACTCGGCTTATATCGTGCCCTTTGTGCCCGTAGCGTCTCGGAGCACTTAACAGTGATGTGGTTTAATGCTGAGCTGGAAAGAGAGGGGAGGTGTCCGAAGCAAGGTCAGAGAGGAAAGTTTTTGACATCAGGTGTGATTTGAAGACAAGCAAAGAGGGGGTAAAGACCAAGGGGATTGAATTCATGGGGTTCCAGAAATTTGGGACATAGTAACTGAAATCACGGGCTGCCAATCGTGGCGCGGAAAGGACCAGGGACATGCAGAAAAGGTCCAAGCCAGTTGAATGAAGACGGTAGACAGTGGGTTAGCAGACCAGAGAGGTAGGGTAGAGCCTAATAATAATCCCTCCAAAAAACTAACAAAACAATAATAAATTGGTCATTTTCAATCTACGACTGTTTGTGGAACATTGCTGTGCGCAATTGGCTGCCGCGTTCTCCCACAAATATACAGTCAATTCACTTTACAGTGTGTTCTGTGAAGCGCTTTGGGACATCCTCCCGACGTGAAAAGCGCTATATCAAATGCAAGGATTATTATTATTATTATTATAGGGAGGTGACGGGGCATGAAGTGATTTGAAAGTGAGATGAGGATCTCCTGACAGAAGTGCCTGTCTGTCTGTGCAAGCGGACGTTGAAGAACAAAAAGAAAAAGGCAGTTTGTCTCAGTGTCCTGACCAACAATCTCCCGGGATAAAAGAAGTCATTTTCTTCGAGGCTTTTTGTGGGACATTGCTGTGTACAAACTGGCTGCTGTGTTCCCCTATAAAATTCAGTCACTGCGCTTTGCAGTAAATCCCGCGAAGCACTTTGAGGCAGGATACGCCGTCGCATCGAATGCATGGATTATTACATTTTTTTAAAATCACCAAGGCTGAGGTGAGCGACCGTATTCTGAAGCAGACTGACTGACGGAAACGTGAACAGAGCATTTGCTTTTAATAATATTTGATTTGGCTGCTCGTCACATCAAAAAATACTTCTGAAAGCGAGTTACTTTGAAGTGCAGTGACAGTTAGGTAAGCAAACTGATCGGGACCAGCAACTTCCCACAGCAACGAGATGAAGGGGGGGGGGGTGGGTGGGAGGGTGGGAGAGCAATTGCAATCCTTTCTTGGGTTGTGGGTGGAATACGGTCTAAAAGGTGTCCACGTGGGAACCTTTTCACCTAAGAATAATAATAATAATACTAATCCTTGCTCTCTTTGTTGTTCAGGACAGTGAGGGAAACTCCCTTCTCTTTTCGAATAGCGCTATGGGATCTTTAACGTGCAGCTGAACAGACAGATGTCCAGGACCTTGCATCTGATATAGCGCCTTATCAGGGCGAAATCTTGGGCAAGTTTCCTTACTCCATCCACACGCCTAATAATAATCCCTCCAAAACAAAACAATAGTAAATTGGTCATTTTCAATCCACGACTGTATGTGGGGACGCTGCAGTGCGCAATTGGCTGCCGCGTTTCGCCCACAAATATACAGTCAATTCACTTTGCAGCGTATTCTGTGAAGCGCTCTGAGACGTTGAGAAGATGTGAAAAGCGCTATATCCAATGCAAGAATTATTATTATTATCATTATATTATCACGTCATTGAGACCTCGGTTTAACGTCTCCTCCGAAGGATGGATGTGACAATAACTTGGACACCCCTTCACTAAACATTGGTCATCTGACAGTCTGCTGACAAACAGTACAAGATACACTGAGGGGCTAGCTATTAGCGTTCAGAACCTCTTTCCCCCAGACCAGGACAGGACGCATAAAAGGAGAGTGAACGGCACAGAGGGGGGAAAAAAAGAACTGCAGAAGATAGCTGGTAGCTGACCTAATAGGGAGTTTAGCAGAAACTTCTTCACATAGTGGGTGGTGAGAATGTGGAACTCACTGCTGATTTAAATAAATTGCCTCGATTTATTCAAGAGACAACTTGATGCCTATATGAGGGAGAAGGGAGTATAAGCGAGAGGAACAGGAGTGTTGGGGAGCACGTGTAGTGTATAAACACCCAGCACGGACTGGTTAAGATGAACGGCCCATCTCTGTACTTTATCACGCTGTGTAACTCTCGGACTACAACGTCAACAAGTGAGAGACCAATAGAGAATATCTACTTAAGAGCAAGTTCTTAACGTTAACGACACAAAATTGCAAGTTTTAGAGATATTTTTCCCCCATTAGTTTCTATGGCACTAAATTCCCATTTCAAGCTCTTTTTGTATAAACACGCTGTGTAAACAGTTTTCATCTTAAACTGCAACGTACTCTCCTAAAGTGGACGTGTCGAATTAATCACCCATTAACCAGATCAGCACAGGGCCAGCCAATGGTTTTAACAGCTTATTTAAGACAGATATCGCCCACAAAATATACAATCAATTCACTTTACAGTATATCCTGTGAGGCACTTTGAGATGTCTCGAAGATGTGATAAGGCGCTGTATCAAGTGCAAGGATTAGTATTATTATTATGCTCCAATGGATGGGCTGAGAACATATTTTTTTCCAACCAAAGATTCCACTGAACATCAGGCAAAGGACTGTTTTTGTCATGGTGTCATATTTTATAGATTGTGTCAGTTATAACAATAATAATCCTTAACGTTTGATACAGCGCCTTTCACATTGGGAGGATGCTTCAAAGCGCTTCACAGGATACACTGTAAAGTGTAGTGGCTGGGTGTTTTGTAGGTGAACAAAACACTTAAATGTTTATCTCCTTATTTTGAATCCATCAGTATTTGTGGTGAGGGAGAAGCAGCTTTCAAACCCAGAGCCGGGAAGCATTTCTTCACACTGAGGGTAAAGGATAAAATTGGTCACTCACTTCACGGCTGTCTGTGGGACACTGCTGTACACAAACTGGCTTCCGCGTTTGTCCACAACACAGTCACTACACTTTACAGTGTATTCTGTGAAGTCCTTTGAGACGTGCTCCTGACGTGAAAGGCGCTATATCAAATGTATGGATTAGCATTCATATTGTAGCGTACAGGCAACACCTGAACACTTTAATGGGAATAAGGTAGGGCAGGTATATCGGAAGGATGGGATTAATTAGGTCATTGACCTGCTGATCTTGTTGAACCAACAGCACACTATGTGGTGACTTTACCCACAGTCACACAGCGTTCGGCTTGTGTTTGGTGGGCAGAGTGGAGGGGGGGGGGAGAAGCAACAACAAACACTGAGCTCTAAGTACGTTAAATACATATGATGCTGAATTTATCCAGATGTGGAATTTCAGAGTGACTGATGATATCCTGCAAATAGGAAAGGCAGCACGTGTGAAACATGCAGCAGAGAATGGTCAGGGATGCTTTAAAGTGCGGCTCTCAGTGGTGGGTGGAACGTGAGTCCTTCAGTCTGGGTTACACAGGCACCTGTGTCCCTCCTTGCTAAGAGCTGAGTAGCTTTAATAGTTTACTTTGTTGAGTTACATTGGGAAAGGCACTACTACAGTTTATTATAATTGACCTGTGCTCCACATCTAAATGACTTCTAATTACAGAGGTGATCTTACGCCTAATTATGCGTAATAGCAGAATGATTTCAACCTCGACATTTTGGAAACAACGATACGACTTGGAGAGACTGAGTCCCTTTGTGATTTATCCGCCCTCCGCGTATTAATTATAACGATTAGGATAATTGATTCTCATCATTAATGGAGCACAATGTACCATCCCCGGCTGCTAACGATACCACTTGTAGTAACTTGAAGCATCTTTTACTGTGTTTTACTGCATTTCCTGCTTCCCTGTGTGGGAGCGGTGAGCTGGGAGATCAGATAAGTTCAGCCCTTCAGCCTCGAAAAAAGGCAGTTCAGAGGGAGTCTGGTAGAGATATAGAAGGTGCAAATAGGGGGGGTGGAGAAAGTGAACCCAGAATAATTCATCCATCACTTGGGATGTCAAGGCAATGGGACAGGAAGTCAGGCAGGTAGGATGGTGAAGGGCAAGTTTAGGACAGAAACCAGGAAGTATTTATTCGCATTGAAGCAGAACGAATACGATATAATTTACATTTATATATAGCGCCTTTCACGTTGGGAGGAAGTCTCAAAGTGCTTTACTCAGCTAGCTGGGTGCCCAACAACAACAGCATTTGCATGTTGGGTGGGAGGGGGGGGAGATGACTAAAAGCACAGTCAAAGAGACAGGTTTTGAAAGTGGGGAGGGAAAGGGGACTCAACATCTGGTGCAAGCCAGAACAGTGGAGTCAATTCAGAAACGGGAAGGTGTGAGGTGGATATTCTGGAAGGAAGAGATGTAATGGGCCGAGAGGAGAGCCCGCCTCTCAAAACCTCTCCTGCGACCTTGGGATTTCGCCTCGCTTTCCGCTGACACAAAACGAGCATGAAAGAGATTCTGTTGCCGAGGCGAGGTCTCGGTGAACGCCAACGCATCTCTCGCTCACACCACAGAGGGACTTTTCAGCCCGACCCGTCCTTTTGCAGTAAAGAAAAGACTCTCTGAACGTAACTTTTATCCCAAGAAGGCAGACCAAATCATTGGCTCCCCTTACAACAACATGAGCTCTGTGCCAGTCTCCCACACTCACTCTACACCGGGGTCAGCATACATGTTCTCAGCGACTCTCTGTACCCAGTCAGTACATGTGATGGCGAGGGCTTTGCTGAGTTACAATTGTATTTCTGCTGCATCCATTTAGTTGTAAAGGTTGCTTACCTCTCTGGAGATTTCTAAATGCCTCGAAGCAAAGTGAAGCCCTTGCTCATGATTGGCAAGTGAGACGTAAGCGTTTCCGAGACTCCAGCAGGCTCTCCCTTCTCCAACCCTGTGAAAGAAAAAAAAACACACACGGTGTTATTGTTCAATTTCGTGCCACTCTCTGAGCACCTCTCAGAGGTACCTTCCCAATGTGAAAGGCGCTGTATCAAATGCAAGAATGATTTTGTTATTATTATAAATAAGCGATTTGTCCTGTTTTTGCCAGAGACTGGGGGTGGTTCTGATACTTTGCCCGACATCCCCTTATTTGTGTGTGAATTTTGACAGTGAGTGTTGGCTTGTTATTCAACGATGGGGGGTAGAATGCTCCTTACAGCCTGTTCTGATCCACACTACACACATGACAAACACACATACACATATACACAATAGACAGGCGCACACATACTTACACCCACACGCTGCTAGAATGAACCCACATCAGTGGTTGAGCTCTTTGTTACCGTCTGCCTCCTTGAAGTAACAATGCTACTGTCACCTTCAAAAGACCTTCACTACTGTCACCGATAATCCCATAACAAAAATTACTAACGGGTGATATATTATCAGTCAGCCCTCTTAATTAAGTAGCTTTACCACTATCCACCTCAAGGACGCTGAATTTGACAATGACCTTCACTGTTAAGTCCATCTCATCGTTTTCTTTTATGTAAATACTTGAAGACGGCTGAACAGAGGCAGCAGTTCAAACAGCGATAGTGTAGCCTTTCCCCGACCGGAACTGAAACGACCGAAACGGTTTACGGTAGTGACAAGCAAAGACTGGCAAACAAACACATTACTGACCTTCAACTTACTCACAACAACCACAACAACTTCCATCTGTTCAGCGCCCCTCACGTTGGGTAGCGTCCCAGAACGCTTGTGTCTTACTCGCACTGAGCAAGGTTAGGGGGCGATGTGATCAGAGTGGACAATGGGTATTTGTCTGGTTGGCTGGAGAGGAGCTGTGATATTCCCTAGTACCGGGCAACAAAATAAACCTCAGCCTCACTGCTGGTCTTATTCTAGGAGTTCAGGAACAGGAGGTGTTTATGAGGAGCATTAACTGCCATTGCTCAGGCCGGGACAACGGATTCTTTAATCTCTGCTTAATGGGAAGGTGGTTGGGCGGCTATTCTGGAAGCCAGGAGATCAAATGAGCCGACAAATGAAAACAAATGAGCTACAGGGACAAGTGCGCACACAGAAACCACAGACACAGCAAGCGAGACACGCGCAGGCAAAAATGCCCACATGGGAACTACAGACACAAATGCGGATTAAAGTGCACACATGGGAACAGAAATGTTCGTACACACACGCGAGGACATTTAACATCCTTGAAGTAAAACCCCTGTTAACTTGGTCTTCACCTGTCATCTAGTTCCTGAGCAATTGAGAGATGCTTCAGGTGGTACTCAATGGCTCTCTCGTAGTCCCGCAGCAGTGTACACGTGTTGCCGAGGCTGTAACAAGCCTGAGCTTCCACCGCCTGGTCCTTCAACTGTCGGGATAGCTGCAGAGTTTTTCTGTGGAAACAAACAGGCAAGTTTCAACCCATAGAGAACACGATGAATCAACAATAATAATGATCCTTGCATTTGATACAGCGCCTTATCACGTCGTCGAGACGTTTCAAAGCGCTTCACAGGATATACTGTAAAGTGTAGTGACTGGGCGTGTTTTGTGGGCGATCAACACACGCAGCCTCCAGCTGAGAGCCTGTGAGAGTGCTCGAGCACTAAACTAAACTACTGGAGGACTCTCAGCGCAGTGACGCTGACACTCACTACCTTTACCCGAGTCGAAGTGGCCTTTTCAACACAGAAGGGTGTGATTCTGAGCCTCACTCCCTCCCTCCTTCAAGGCCCATCTCAAGACCTTCCTTTTTGACTGTGCCTTCGAAAACCTTCCCTCTTCCTCCTCCTCCTTCCGCCTTGCCCGCCATCCCTCCCTCCCCCCCTCCCTTTAAAGCCCATCTCAAGACCTTTTTTGACTGCGCTTTTGGTTATTTACCCAACCCTCCAAAGCCTAACCACCGCCAAATGTTATACTAGAATGAAGGGACTATACGAATGCAAGTCGCCATTGCTGAGTTAATGAATCCAGGCCACAGCTTGACCGTCAATCAATCGGCTGTCATTTCAGAGCACACGGTGTACACGGTGTGTGAAGATGTGATATCACTGGCAGGTCGGCAGGGAGCCAGGTAGGCAGGGCAGGAAGGCAGGGCTGGCAGGGAGCATTTGCTGGCAGCCAGAACATGCAAGACCAGTCCAGTCGCCGAGGACCCAAGGTTCTCTATAACGTGTGCTTTCACAGCCACTTGCAGCATTTGGGTGAACTTATCAGGTTCTCATCACACGTGGCAAAGAAATCTTACTTGTAATATTCAGCAGCCACTTCAAACTTCCCCAGAAATATATGTGCGTTCCCCAGATTGCTGTAGGCTCTTCTCTCAGCAGCTCGGTCACCAAATTCTTTGGCTATTGAAAGACGCTGAAAAAAAAAATAAACCCAATGGTTAGACCCACTGCACAGTTACACTCACTGCATCTTACACAGCGCTAGACAACATCAAAATTATGACAATCTTGCATTCGACAAGAGCGCCAATAACACAGAAATGTCTCATAATGCTTTGCAGCAGTTAAATGTAGTGACTGTGCCTTTTTTAAGCAACTGCAAATAGCCAGTTTGCGCCCAGCAATGTCCCACAAACAGCCTGGAGGTGAGCGACCAATTTTATCTGGGGGATTGTTGGCCAGGACACCGGGAGAGAGAGAAAAACTCCTTTCACTTTTTGAACAGAGTCGGGGGCACCTTTAACATCCAACAGGCAGACAGGGCCTCGGCTTAACGTCTCAACCATCTCAAAAAATACCGGAAACGTAAAACTATTCCTGGATTATTAGCCTTTTTTTCTTGTCCTGTGTTAGGTTGGAAGCAGTCTCGGCAATTCCTGTTGGTCCCAATTGGCTGCTGTGTTTGCGTGGCATCTGGGAACGTTACAGGATAAACTATTTGACACCATCGCCCCCTATTGAGCAGCCGCCTGCAACTACAGGGATCTCGGAGCCTGATGTCCACACTGATGATCGCGCTCGTAACAGGAGAGAAGGCGCGGTTGCCTTTGCAGGCCTTGAAAAGTATTCTAAAACAGCCAGGTAATCTACCGTCACGTTAAGTTAACACCACGTGCAGAAGCCCGGAGAGTTCCTCTCGGTATTTTACCTTGTGGACTTTGAATCTATAAGCAGACAAATTACACTTTACAGTAAATCCTTGAAGGGCTTTGAGACATCAACCTGACGTGGAAGGCACTACATCAATTGCAAGGATTATTAGTACTATTATTTTATCTGTTCGGCACACCTGCACTGATCCACATCAGAACTCACCTGTAGTGGACTTGGCCTTTAAGCTCCCATCCCCCCAATCCCACGGGTAAAGCTCCCCCGCTTTACAAAAGTTCCCCAACTTTATTGTTGCCTGTTGCATTCAAATCCCACAAATAACCCATTATCCATTAATTACACCGAAACTCCACAGCAATAAATATTTATGTGCCGGCTGATTTCACTTGCAGGCGCTACTTGTTTTAATGAATTTTCCTACTGAAAAATCAATATGGTTCGGGCTTTGCGTCTCTTTAATCTGCAGCACTGTACACATTAGATTCTGTACCCGGTCTCCGTGTCTAATAATGTCGTCTATAGACCTGAAATGAATCAATCAGCGATGGATATAACCACATGCCACGCAATTGAAATGGTTTGCTTGTCATTTCATATAATGAAAGCCCTTCACAGCAGCCTTTGGTTTTATGGTAGTAATGAAATGAATAGCACTACTACAACACTGAGTTATTTCAATACAGTTCACGGCCACAGTAAACATTCAAGGATCAATGACCACAGCAGCTGTCTGATAGAATTCAGATGAGATGTCTCTGTTTCGAATGAGATGTTAAACCCACCTCCCGAATGCCTGTTGGGGCTGATGTTAAAGATCACGTGGCAATGATCGAAAAAACAAACAACTTGCACTTATGTAGTGCTCTTCAAGCAGGACAGTGTCTCAAGGTTGGACACCGAGTCAAGAAGAGGTTGAGGTGACCATAGGCACGGTCGAAGAGGTAAGTATTAAGGAGGAATTTAAATAATAATAAATAATAATAATCCTCGCATTTGATATAGCGTCTCATTACGTCTTCTAGACCCCTCAAAGCGCTTCACAGAATTTACACTATAGTGAATTGACTGTGTATTTCCCCACAAACAGTCGTGGATTGAGTAGCCAAATTATTACTAATATACATTTATATATTTTGAAGGGATTTTGAAATCCAGATCAAGAAGGGAATATAGATATTAATACAGAGGAGGGAGCTTCTCCCAGTGTCCTGGCCAACATTGCCCCCATCTAGTGAAGGTTGCTATATAAACACACGTTGCTGTCATTGTCTTTAGATCGAGACGGATATCACTTCCCATCACTAACACAACTTCCTTGCAGGCAATCGAAAATATTGCTTAAAAAAAAAGCTTATAATTTTTGGTCCCAAAGTAAAACACTAATTATTGGCCAACTTTAGTTATAACTTATGGGTCACGCAGGAAAACGCTATGTTATTATGAAGGTGGAGTTTTTAAAAATAAATAAAGCTTCCTTCTCGAAGCGTCCCTTACTCAGAAGGTCTGCTGGCAGGTCTGTAATTAGCAGCATCCTACTTTGAGGCTAAAATGGCATTTCAAGTCATTACAGTCGGAGGCCTTAGTTTTCATAGGAAAACAGGACACAGGATCGTACAGAACTGGAACAGAACATTGCGTCTGTCTGGCGGGTTTTAAGGTTTAAAAAAAACATAAAGAATAAAAATTATCGTACGCTACTCTTGATCTCTCGTAACCCCTCAAACTGATTTCATCTCCGAGCAGTTGAAATCCTCTTTAATTTGCCAACGCAATCTCCTTGGGTTGTCCTTTACACATATCCACGATCTAAAGACTCAGATATCAGCTCTTTTTGGCGTTCTGTTGCCTATTTCTCCTGCAAAGTATATCCCACGAAACACTTCGAGACGTCTTCTTGATGTGAAACGCGCTGCGCGAAACACAAGGATTATTTTTTTTAAATCCACCACTATCCAAGTGTCTGGTCACCTTCCTTCTGCTCCCAAGTCTATCGTAGATCCCACCGTCGTAGATACTGTATTTTACATTGAGAAGTGGTTCTCAGCGAAAGGGATAAGAGGGCAGGACATTGGTAAAAGTTGAAAGGAATAAGAGAGCGACTGAGATAATTTATGACGTAGTACTTAAAGCAATGCCAGGCTCTGAATTCAAAAGCCTGAAGATTACAGGAGGAAGAGAAGACTGAAATGACCTGATCTCTCTTTACCTCTTTGTGAAATCCAATGGCATCAAGGTAGTTTCCTAAAAGGTAATGGGTGTTGCCAAGGTTCCCATAGGCCCGACCTTGGGCTGCCCGATCACCCATTTCCTTTACGATGGCAAGATTCATCCTGGAAAAAATAAATCACATTTTGAAAATAATCCCAAGTGAAGACCCCAAATCTCCTTTGCGTCGAAGTTAACCAAAGGTCAGAGGAATCTGAGAAAGGTGAGCGTTGGGTGAAAGGAAAAATATATTCAGTATCGGGGGTGGGGGGGGGAAGGGGGAGTCGGTATGTGTGAATAATGGGAGTAAAAGTGAAGCACAATAATGAGATAAGCCTTAATAATTCTCGGCTTTATTATAAACCGATTTAAAATTGGAATAGGTTTAACACAAAAAGGAGTGTTGAAAGAATCAATGAACGTTTCCACTCGGCTCGGTCTGTGGAACTCTTTATCTGTGAGTCAGAAGAAAAGGTCGAGGACTTAAGTCTGATGTCAGGACCTTGAGCTCGGACTATCAGCTAACATTACAGTGTAGTACTGGTGTGGAGGGCTGCTGAGGATTTAGCACCCAAGACAATCCACCCAGCATACATAGTCTACTGAACAGACTACGTTTTGCCCACAAAATATACAGTCAATTCACTTTACAGTAAATCCAGTGAAGCGTTTTGAGACGTCTCGAAGACGTGCTAAGGTGTTGTATCAAATCCAAGGATTATTATTATTATTATTATTATAGTGATTTAAGGTCACATTTAAATGACAGTAGACGGCACCTCAGGTTTAACCGATCTTACCTTTGTGTCAGCTCCCTGAAGGACAAGAGAGGATTTTACGCCTATAAAATGTGCACATACAGATTCAGGTCACTGTAGCGTAAGAGTCTGAGCTGCTGGTCAAGGGCTTTCGTCAGGGAAATAACATTCGCATTGTTTGGAGAAGTGAAACTCACTCGTAGTATTCAGTCGCCTTCTGTAAAGTGTCTTTCACCTCGTCCGGTAGCTCTCCAGACTCGTGAGACGCACTCCACGACCTCTGCTTCCCTTTGGCATGGAAAACATTCCCAATATTGTACAAGGCTCTGGCTTCACCCACCTAACGGGAAGGAAGCAGCAAACATCGACAGGATTAGCACTTGCATTCGAAGGTCATCCTCAAAAACATTTTGTGATTTAGCCCCCCCCCCCCCACCCAAAAAAAACGTTCATCTCATTTTAGGGTGTCTCAACCTGTCTCAGTTAATAGCGCTCGCTCGCCTCTGAATCAGGAGGTCGTGAGTTCAAGCCCCAATTTACAGTCCAGGTGAACATTCACTCTTTACGGGGGTAATAAACCCTTCAAAAAATAAATAAGAATAAGAATAAATTGGTCATTCAATCCACGACTGTTTGTGGGACGCTGCTGTGCGCAATCGGCTGCCGCGTTTCACCCACAAAACACAGTCAATTCACTTTACAGTATATCGTGTGAACTGCCTTTGAGACGTCTCGAAGACGTGATAAGGCTCTATATTAAATGCAAGGATTATCTTATTATTCATTCCAATACAAATGTGGGTTGCTGAAATTGCACTCCTTCAGATGAGACATTAAACTGAGGTAACGACTGCCTGTTCAGCTGGATGTCAAAGGAAGCGCTTCACAGGATTTACTGTAAAGTGTAGTGACTGCGTAGTGCATTTTTTAGGCGAATGCAACAAGTGAGATTAATGTCCCACAAACAGCCATGAAGTGAATGAACAATTTTATTTTGGGAGACTGTTGGCCAGGACACTGGAAGAAACTCTGTTCACTTTTCAAATAGTGCCCTAAAACCCTAGAGAAGGAAAAGCCCAGGGTTAGGAAAATGGGAAAACTGTAAACCAAAAGTTAAAAACTCCTTTAATTTTCATCAGGGTCAGGACTAGACTTTCACCTTAAGTTGGGATATTATGGAAACATTAGGAGATAATGGATGTAAACCATAACACACATCAGTCCCATCTTCTCTGCTCATAAACCTGCTGTATAAACATTTTAAAATATTTATACTCCTATCCTAATATTATATCTTACAAGTTTACTGTAATCTCCGGCCTTTTGATAACTGTGGCACTATATTTGGTTCCACCCATCAAGTTTATACTCATCCCATTACTAACGTCACTGATTCCATCGGTACATGGTGTAGCCTGGTTGGTTCTGCATCAATTCAAGCAAGGCCACAAGAGAAAATAGTAACATAATCCCTTCACTTTGAGAGGACGTCTCAAAGCATTTCATAGGAGTATTTTTTTGGCAAATGCAGCAGCCAATTTGCACAACAACCATGAAATGAATGACTAATTTTATCTGGTGGATTGTTGGCCAGGACACTGAGAGAAACTCCCTTTTCTTTTTGACGAGTGCCGCAGGACCTTGCCGCCTTTCTGGACAGGCAGACAGGAACTCGGTTAACATCTCATCTGAAGGACTGCAAGTGCAGTGTCGCACTCCTAGCCTAGACTAGACCCAGAGGCGAGAGATCTCCCAACTGAGCCAAGCAGACACACTGTGGGAAACTCAACACAGGACTGAAAACTCTTTGAAATCAATATTGTTTTTGCTTTGCTGCAAAATTCTCATTGATTGGGCAGGACAGCTTTCGTCTAAGGCAGTGTTTAGAACAACAACGACTTGCATTTATATAGTGCCCTTCACGCGGTGTAGCATCTCGGAGCACCTGGGACAATAGAAGAAGGCAGGAAACCCCAGTTTAACAGGGCACGGTGAGATTACCTTATCGCTATGCTCACGAGAGATGTCTAAGTGCCTTATGCAGCAGGCGATGGCTTCGTCGTAGCTCCCGAGAATCTTCAGTGTATTACCGAGGTTCCCACTGGCTTTGGCTTCTCCAATGCGATCCCCTATTGTTCTGTTGGAAAGAGGTTCATCCTTGAAACGTTTTATTGCCCATACAGAACCAGAAGGTCCTGCAAACAAACAGTGTGGGTTCTGCAACTCAGGGAACATTATTCCCCTTTACTGGCACAAACCAAAGTGGATTCTTGTCCACCAGATAAAGGGCCTGTCATCGTGAGATAAGAGCCCAGCTCTGCAGTACCTTCCCAGTGGTGCCTCAGCGTCTCTTCCCCTGGACTCAAGTTTCACATAAATTTCTAGCCCCTTGTCTCCCTCCCCACCCTCAACAGTCCAATGGTTCACATCAGGATACTCAGTCGCTAACGGTGAACCCTGAAGGTAGCCAGAGGTCCTGATCAAGGATTGTGCTCCCACCACCACCACTACCATTTTAAGCTTGTGGCCTGCTTTATTATTGGGCGCATTGGTCTATGACAAGAGGATTTTGGGGTGGGGGGGAAGGCACAACCACTCTAGCTCTACCACTGCCACGCTTTGAACATCTCCCCTGTCCTCACTATCCCCTTCCCTCGCTCTCCTTGTGAAGGAATGTCTGAGCTCAGCTCTATAGTAAAGTGGGAGCCAACGATCTTTCAGTAGTTCAGGGCTCTCTCTGTCCCAGTGAACCTTACCTGGCCAGTGTTAGGTCGTGCTTGTGGTACTCCAGGGCTTTCGAGTACTCCTTCAGGTAGAAGTAGGCATTGCCCAGTTGACTGTAGATGGCGCTCAAGGTCTTCAAGTCCTCCGTCCCAACCTGCACGGCGGCTTCAAAGAACGCCACTCCGGCCTTGAAATCTCCAGCTTTGCACAGCCGCTCCCCTTCCAAAGCCAGCTCGAGACAAGACGCCTCCATTCTGCCAAAACAAACAGGTCGCGCATTACGTACCGTCCAGGAATCAATCGCAAATAATGACAATCGTTTTCTTTTAAATCGATCGTTAATTTCATGGCCGTTTGCAAGACGTCGCTTTGCACAAATTGGCTGCTGCGTTGGCCTATAAATACGCAGGTACTACACTCTACAGTAAATTCTGTGAAGTACATTGGGGCATCTCGATGGCATGCAGCATTATATCGAATGCAAAAATTATTATTATTCCCATCACGATCCCCGAAGAACACCTCACATGGCATCGATTGCTCTTTGCTAAGTGGTGCTCAACAGGAATCAAGATGCCAATATTTTAATAAAATGTTTAATTCATTGATTTAATGGAAAATTCTCAGAGTCTGAAGCTTGTGGAACTGTGAACTCATAGTCTAGAGGGGTGACACGACAATGCAGTACTAGAGGTAAGTAACATAGGAGGTGCCATCCTTCAGATAACACGTGAACCTGAGGTCCCATTTGTGTCCGGGTGGAGGTTGAAAGATCCCATGGCACTTTTCGAAAAGGGAAGGAAGTTCCTCCTGGTGTCCTGGCCAACAATCCTCCAGATAAACCGGTCACTCACTTCACGCTTGCATGTGGGACATTGCTGTGTGTCAGTGGCTACTGTGGTCATCTACAAATGCACTTGTGAAATCTTGTGAAGCACCTTGGGACGTCTATAAGACGCTATATCAAATACAAGAATTATTATTGCAATTATTAATAAATTCAGCCTTTAAGTCACTCTGAGTGACAGATCCTAGCCTACCCAGTCATAAGAAATGGAAATACTTGTTCACACACAGACAAAATCTGCACCGTTTAACAAAACAAGTACGTCTTTCCTTTAAATGGATTACCACAGGCTGACGCACACTCCCGATTGAAGGATTAAATAGGAAAAATAACCTGCGTACTCACTAGATCAGCAAAACAGGTCTGAGATCGGGATCAGGAGCACACACTGGGTATAGTGTCTGTGCAGCTTTATAATGCCCTTCACAGTCATCACTGGAATGGGAACCTCTCGGAATAAACCATCAGGCTGACTAGCAACATCACGCAAACACAGCACAAAACCATTGTGAGTTTCCATAGTAACGTTGCAGGTGCCGGTTTAGACACAAAAATAACGTACGGCCCTTTTTAGTTCAAAGAAGCCGAATTATAAAACAAAGCACTGTTTTATCGTACAGTATTCCTGGTGTCCAGATGCAGGGAATCTCTCTCTCAGGCACGGGGTGGATTGCATAGGAATTTAACCAAAGACACGCTATCCTTCACTTGACAGTAAACAGTACAACGCTTCCTTTGGTACTCTCTGTATGTTCAGCCATGTTACTGTTGATAGTACTTCAGTCTCCAAATGAGTTCAACCCCCACGTCAGGACTTTAAGGTCAGTCTCGGCCGACATTTATCGAGATCTGCTGCATTGTCAGAGGCGTCGTATTTCGGATGAGACATTAAGCCGAGGTCCCGTCTGCTTTGTTCAGGTGGACATTAAAGACGCCGTGAGACTGTTCGAAAAGAGAAGGAAGTTTCTCCCATTGTCCTGGCCAACAATCGCCCCCAGATAAAGTGAGTCATTCACTTCAAGGCTGTTCGTGGGACGTTGCTGCGTTCAAACTGCCCACAAAATACACAATTGCTGCACTTCAAAGCAAACCCCTTGGGGGAAAAAAACCCTTTGCAAAAGCCATAGGGAAAATATCACCAAACAATGTAAAAGAATAAACATTTACAACTGCAGTCTGCACTGAGCCAAATCTTAAATCACTCACCTCCAGAGCCTACAGAGAGAAAGTGAACCTGACTGTAGTTCAGGGTCAAAAAAACATGGGAAAATTCAATGTGCCCACGACTCCTGCATCATGTCAATCAATAAAGCAGCGTCACGTGGGTTGAGAATCCAGCCCAATGCTCCAGCGCAACAGCAAGATAACAACAACTTGCATTTATATAGCTCCCTTCACATGGCGTAGCGTCCTGGAACGCTAGACATTGGCGGAGTCTGACCCCCGAGCCGGGGGTGGGGGTGGGGGGGTAAGTTGACCGTAAGCACGATCAAAAAGGTCTTTAGGCGGGATTTGAAAGTGAGGAAGGAGGGAGGGAGGGGGCAAGGGGGAGCTGTTAAAGCTCTCAGGTCCCCCTCACGCCCCCACACGGCTGCCTATTCTGGTGCTTCAAGTGAATATGAAGCAGCCTGCGGCATTGTTTCAGAGAGGAGCTGGGAGCGATGCCAAACCCTGTAATAACCACTAATTACTTTGCTGGCTGAGATCCACAGTAAAATCCTAAGAAGCGATTTGAGGCAGTTGACATGATAAGCGAGGTTCTATGTCAAAAATGCAAGCATTGTGGTGCATTCTTCTGCTTCTGTGCGATTGACTCCAGTGCCATTTACACCACTGCCCCGGGTGGTCAAAGCACAAGAGGAGGGACAGAGCCATTTGCCAACCCTGGAGACTGTGCCCTTTAACAGGCGTCAGTCCAGCTCAGTTGGGAACGTGACTGCGGGTCACACGATCGCAATGCTGAGGTCCTCTCTGCCTCTGCAGATGGGACACTACAATGGACCCACACAGCACCACTTCAAAGAAGGGCACTCACAGACAAAAACAGATGCACAGTGCAAAATGCTTTGCTCTGTTCTGCTGTGGACCAAAGCACGATATCGACTGTAAGCATTCATTAACGATTCATTAGCGCTGATAGGTAGCAGTGAAAACTGGAGGCGATTCCAGACACCAAATTTAATAGAATGCATTAGAATATACAACACAGAAACAGGCCATTTGGCCCAACTGGTCTAGGCCGGAGTTTATGCTTCACATGAGCATAAGTTAGAAGAAATTTCTTCACACAGAGAGTAGTGGGAATGTGGAACATTCTACCACAAGGAAGCCTTCAAGCATAACCTTCTATTCCTTTCTCCCTCATGTACCTCTCTAGCTTCCCCTTAAATACATCTGTGTTATTTGCCTCAACAACTCCTTGTGGTAGAATGTTCCACATTCCCACTACTCTCTGTGTGAAGACATTTCTTCTAACTTCCCTCTTTGATCTATTTGTGACTATTTCACATTGATGGCCCCTGGTTTTGGTTTCCATCGTTGGTAAAAAAAGACAAGTCATTAAAAACAATCACCCAAATTGCTCGTAAATCAGGTCAACCTGGGCCTGATTTAGCAAGTCGCATTTTGACTGCAGCGTCCGAGTTATACTGTAAATGACGATTATGGGTTCTCCTCCTGTACAGTCTTCTCAGCTGCTCCGCTAAACACTCTCTCTTCCCCTACAATATACTGGGCTGTTTGCATGCATTTCTTTGAAGCACTCTCGCCTCCGAATGAGAAAGTTGTGGGTTCAAGGCCCAAGTCGGGGCTTCGAACTCACGTAGTATAGGCTGGATATTCTGTCGTCATCAATGTCATTTTTACCCCATTTTTGGCTGCTATGTCGACGCACCGAATTTCGACCCCAATGGATTTGTGTCAATAGACATTAGCAAAGGTAAGTGAAGGTACAGAGAAGCACTGCAGTTCCTCGGGACATCTCCCGCATTCATGGTGTCCAGCCAGAGCACTAAGTGCATGATTGTTATGCGGTTTGACAGGCGCTTAATAACTAGGACACGAGCTACCTCCAGCGATTGAAATGTCTGAGCGCTTCAGTTTAAAGCACCCACTGGCCAGTCTTTACTGTTCACTGGCAGCAGAACTCTACACTGCTGTAAAAGGAGCGTGTCCTAAAGAGGCTCAGCTTAACTCTGCCTTCAGCCGTGGGCTAACATGGATATTCCACATCCTGATCCTGCAAAAAAAGACTGAAATGGAAAAAGCTTTCGGTTTCTCACAATATTTAAGAACGTAACAGCAGTCGCTCTTAAACCCAATCTCGTTCTGAGAACATGGAACTGAAACCAATTGCACCACCAACAAATTACATTTGTACAGCGCCTTTCACGTCAGGAGGACATCCCAAAGCGCTGGACAGTTAGCGATCCGTGCCCGAGCTGGTGTTTGGAATCAGGAGGGGTAGAGGGCGGGGAGGGTAGGGGTATGACCGAAGGCACGGTCGAAGAGGAGGGTCTTGAAGGAGGCCGGGAATGGGGCAGGATCAGAGGGACTGTCCCCCTGAATTCTGCTGGTTAATAGGTCCTGCCCTGCCCCTTACTCTCAGTCTGCAAACAAAACATGGGCTTGAAGTGGTCTTCCACATCCAGTTATGGAGTGGCAATGTTCCTTTAAGTTCCTATCTGATGGTCAGTACAGCGTTTGTATGGCTGCTTGGAATAGTGAATTTTGGGCCTCTCTGATTCTACTACTTCGTACCACCTGTTGCTCCGAAGGCCAATTAACTTATCCTGAGCTTGAAAAATATGTGAAACTTTAATGATACAAATAACAGATGAACTGAAAATAAAATCAATGATATGCCAGTGGACAGGAATGAATGGCTGAGTGAGGATATTGAGAGCGATCAAAGAGAGGAGATCATGAATGTTCCAAGCATATATATATATAATAATAAATGTATAACACTGTATATAGTACTTACATCTTTATATATTATATAGTATGTTGTGCCTTTTGCCCCCAAAACTCACAGCCAAAACCACTTTACAGTATATCCTGTGAAGCGCTGTGAGACGGCTCGATGATGAGATAAAGCGCGTCGATCATGAGATAAAGAATTATGATTATTATTATATAAAAATACATGTACATGTATAATACACAGTATATATATATGTGTGTGTGTGTGTGTGTTGAATGGACGCGAACAAAAAGGTTATACTGAACAGATCTGAACACGACTGTCAATTTTGTTTTCGGTTTGACAAATACCTTTTCTTCTGCATATTTTTCAGCTTCTCCACAAAGAGCCAAAGCTCTCGGTCGAGGGGCAGCAGGAGAGCACGTGGCCTCGGGCCACGATGGAGAAGCCTGCAAACCGCCATCTCTGCCATGGTGAAGCCG